CATCGCTTTCTCAAAATCACATAAAGTCGTATTATAACATCGACTGAGATAAATAATAAAATGAAATATTAAAAACACGATGTATCTCGCTGCATTGCGCGAGTACTCTTCTAGTATACATTAATAAACAATATTTTTAAGAGTTTTTATCAAATGCTTAAAAGAAATCTAGTTGTATATAGGCAACTCGGCCGACGATTTATTTTTGCACCAAAGTTAACTCAAGTGTCTGATTTTAATATCAAATGTTATTGACTTTAGTGAAATGATGACGTTGTCACGTTTTTATAAAATAAAGATGTCAAACTCTATCTAAATGAGATACTAAATAGGGAGAAGTATAATAAACACCTTTATAAGACATACACATGAAAAGTATAATATTTGTCTACGTTACTGTTTTAATTTGTCTCAAAATAAGAGTATACTTTGAAAATTAAACCTATATTTTTGTATTATACCCTTCACTATGAGATAAAAACCTTTAACGCATAAATTTTCTCATTGGATGAACACGAGAAGGGTCAAAAATCTTACCGGATAAGAGCAATGAGAATGATAGAGAATCTTACCCGGTAAGTGTGCATGACGACTCTTGCCCAGGTAAGCGCTTACGTAGTAAATTGTTGCATTCGATATGCTTTTATCTACTAAAATCTTACGCATCTAAATAAATTATAGTATTGATTCCTATTGGTAAGCACTTACTGGGTAAGCATTTGGGTAAACGGCCCCTAAGTCTCTAAATTTTTGTATTAAATAAACTATCGTACTTTTAAAAATTGATACCTACCTCATTTTAACCCTAAAAAAAGTTATATTAACTGGCTAGTAAAAGTTCGATGGTTTATATATTTTTTTAAAAAATCAAGATTTTATCATATAAAATGTGAAAATTTAATGGTCTTTTCATAAAAAAAAAATAGTTCAAAAACTTAATTATTTAAAATGAAAAAATTTAATTATTTTTTCATTAATTGTTTTTTATCTGTCTGCTTTTTTATATGAAATTTTGGTCGCCGGTGAAGGTTTAATTGATCGGAAAGTATGGAGTTTCCGGTGGTGAACAAAAGAAACTGAATCCATTACAGTTGTCTCCAGACCAAATTTATTCAAGAACCCTCGAAAACCACATAAATCGATTAATAAACTTAAAAACATGAAGAACGACAGAAGAGCAAAGAAATCTCTACAATCCAACTTGAAGTTTACAAGGTAATACATTGACGACAAGAAATGATAGATCATACTGGCTTACAGTTGAACAAATGTTTGTATTTGTTGCTGAGAAATGATCTCTAAGTTGAGACGTGAGCATGATCGGACCATATCTCCGGCGAGAGGGATCACCGGAAGGTTGTCACAGTTGCATATCTCGATCATGAATCCATCTGGATCATGGAAGAATAACTGATCCACGTAGATTCCACCTTCTTCAACCCTCTGTCTCTTGTAATCTATTCCCATGTCCTTCAGCTTCTTCTCCACGGCTCCCATGCTCTCACACTGTATTCACACACACAAACACATACAGAATCTAAATTCGAACTTCGAACTTCGAAATAGGAAATAATTCTCGCCGATTTTGTAAACTAAGTTTACCTGGAAGGATATATGATTATCCTTGGGATTTATTTCACTTTTCTTCGGAATATTATCCGGATTTTCTGATTTCAATAGATGAATCCCGATTCCGTAGTTAAATAGCCTGCAAATCATCCAACAACAAAAAATATTAGATCGGTTTCAAGCATCGATAACGATCAGACAACAGATTCGACATTCTAGATTCGTAATTCCATGTTCTGTTCAAAACTAGGTTAAATTACCATGCACCGCTGAAATCAAAAGATCCAGGCCTTCTAATTGGGGCAAAACCGAGAACATTAGTATAGAAATCAATAGATTCTTCGACCGATTGGCATACGAGCGAGATGTGATTCAAAGACTTGAGATGCAGAGGATTTTGAGCAGTTTCCTTCATTTTTCAACACAAATTTCAACGGAAAACGCAAAAAACCGATCGAAATCGACGAAATGTCAAACCAAGAACCGATTAAGGAGATAACAACGATGATAGGATGTGGAAAGGGTGTTAGTTGTTGGATTTAATGCGGATATTGAGCAAGTGATTGAGGAAGATTCAACACACGGCACTGAAGGTGATGAGAGAATGGAGGAGGTGTGTATTTATAGGCGAAAAGATTTTCAAAAACTTACGGTATTGATTTTACACGTGTCAAGATTATCTAGTAGTTGACACGTAGGTTCCACGTTTGCTGCATCCATGTGGGGTAGGCACACCCAATCGCATCTTATTTTTTGATTTTTGTTTGTTAAATTTGTAATAATATTAATATTAAGTATTTAATGAGCTCAAAGCACGGACTTCCTTTCTCCTCTCTTGGTAGCTTTAAACGAATACGAACGGAAACTTGTTTATGTTCGTTCGTTTAACTTAACTGAACAAACGAATGGTAAACAAACGAAAATTTTTGTGTTCGTGTTTAGAAATCAGGTGTGTTCGTGTTCGTTTATGTTTATCGTTAACATGTTAAACGAACGTAAACAAATGGGCTAAATGAACATAAACGAACGGGCTAAACGAACATAAATAAATATTATTTGAATTCAAAGTAAATAAATAAAAGACTATATATTAAATTTGATATATAAACGAACATAAACGAACGAACGTAAACGAACTGTAAATGAACGAACGTTCACGAACATAAATGAACGAACGAGACTCATGTTCATGTTCATTTGTTTAACTAACGAACACAAAAATTGTTCACGTTCGTTCATTTATTAAATAAACGAACTTCCCGCCGAACGGTTCGCTGAACGTTCAGTTCATTTACAGCCCTATCAACAACCATTGAGCCAGACCCACTTACCGTTTCGTTTCTCCGTCGTAGTGTAAAAAGTTATAAAATCGTGAAATATAATATAATATCATTTTATTTTGAACAACTGTATATATTTTTAAACGATGATTGTGACATAATTTTTTTTTTGGGTAAAGTTGGTCTGGATTACATTTTTTCCACCTCATACCCGATCATGTTTATGTTATTTTTTTTAATTTCAGATTTATTATGTTTTAAAAAAAATTGTAACAAAATACTTGCACACAGGACCTCAGATATGAAAAACAAAAAACTTACTAATAGACCAATGATTATTTTGTGAAAAAATATTCATATTTTTATTTCTTATAGTCAAATGGTGTCATTACTTGAAAAAAAAATCTAAGTCTGTCCCTGATCAACTCAATCTGAAAAAACCAAAAAAAAGAAAAGAAAAGTCAATTTGAGGTAACTCGATGCATAGCTGGTACAAAATTAGGTCAAATCGTATCTATTGGGTTTGAATTGGGTTAGTGTCATTTGAATACAATCATACCCGACGAACTAGATGTTTTTTTGTACGATGGATTTAATATAATTTCTCACGTTGGATTTACCTCTTAGGAGGTATTTGATTAGAGGTATTAAGCGGTAATCATGACAATGAACTTTTGTTTGGTAGTTTATAATGTAATTAGCTCATTCCCTCAGAAGCCCAAATTTTTTCATTCCAGATTAAACTAGGGGAAATGTAAGTTCAATCCCATTTCATTCCCCGATATGAATTAAATAGACCCTTAGTCAGTTATCTCCCACAACTACCGAAAAATCACAACCTCCATAAACAAGACCTTCTCAACTAGCCCAAGTCCGAAAATAATACTTCAATCACTTGCGGAGATGTCACTTGCAGAAGTCTCCATTTCATAAAACTTAAGGATGGTGGAGAACTCACCCCGCCTTCTCTCCTAGAAATATTGTTTACACGAGCTTTAGTAAGTCTATCCTGCTAACATCCTATCGCCTGTCTGCCACTACGCTTGCTGCCAAGCCATCTCCGACTCCTTGAACGAGGGGATGAAAGAGCATGAACTAATCTCTAAACCGATGGACTTCTCTGAGAAATGAGATTGGTTAGTTGCTCCCTCACAATATCGACTCATTTTCGATACACCCCATCTTCTCTCCTATTAATATTGTTTACATGAGCTTTAACACGCCTATCCTGCTAACATCCTATCGTCTGTCTGCCACTATGCATGCAGCCAGGCCATCTCTGACTCCTTGGATTAGGGGATGAAAGAGCATGTTTGATTGACAATAGAAAATGAACCCCATGAATACTCCTTGTGGAGGTGACACGTCACTTTAGGAGTATGAAAAACTTCATTCTTCTTTTTAAAACACCCTCTGCAAGTTGCGGATTCGGCACTCGAAGGTATTGATTTGTTAGTGAGTATGGAAGAGTAATGGCCAAAAGATGAATTTGGTTGGTTAAAATGGCTAATTTGGTAAATTTCCCTTATATATGAGGCGTTTCTTCATTTGTAACGCAATAATTGGTGTTAACTATGTGAGTTAACCCTAGCCTTTGATCTTTGTAATCTATGGACAAAATTCATCATGACATTTTTGTAATAAATTGAAAATTGATGCTTAATAAACATAGATGAACAATCATGAATAAAGGGTAATTTTGGAAAAGATTAGAGAAATTTCTTTTAGCATTAAATACGTTTCCGCTAATTACTCCATTACTTTGAAACCGACATCAAACTTTAACTACTCCTTCATGTATTAATATATAATGTGTAACTTATGAATGATGTGAACTAATAACCAGTTATCATATATGAGTACCTTATGAACATTGTTGACCAATGAAAATATAGCATATATGAACATGTTCATTAGTGAACACATACCTGAATGTGTATGTATGCGTGACTGGTGAACAATGTTCACTAACGAACAAGTTTTCAATGTGAACATTGAGTGCATGTTCATGCATGTTGGCTGCTACTATATTCATGTTGATCATCCATGTCGTATAATCCACCAGACGCAACGAACTCGTTCGATTAAGGATGTTGACTCTTTAAGTGCTATTGGTTATTTCTCAAAATAAATTCGTTTATGAAGAGTCACAAACAATATAACTTACAACACATGATATTAAAATGGCTAAATTCAAGGAGTAATGTAACATCCTTTTAAATGTATTAAAGCAATAGAAAACATAATCTTACTATTTTGCTCAACCATTAATTACATAGGAATCTATGAACCATGGTATTAGATTAATTTCTATTATTCTAAAGATTGCATAGTTAACCCAAATGAATTGGTTAACAAAAGATCACACCTTCCCCCCCCCCCATTCTCTCTCTCTCTCTCTCTCTCTCTCTCTCTCTTTCTCTCTCTTGTGTGTATGTGTGTGTGTGTGTGTATATATATATATATATATATGTATATATATATAATATAGGTTCATTTGAGAAGTAGAGAAACGATCTTAGCCCTTAATCTAATCAAGATTTGCAGCTTTGACTGTAAAGTATTGGATAATTCTTTGCATGATATGAAGAACATAGATGGGTAGTTTTGTAACTTTTACAAGTAGGCAACAAAACAAGTGTATATGTGAACTCATGCAATTTACATATTAACTATTTAACTAATTCACATATAAACTTGTGTGATTCATGTATAAACTAATTAACTTATTCACATATGAACTATGGGTTCACATATGCAATTGTTTGCCTTCTATTTGTAAAAGTTACAAAACTATCCATCTATTTTTCATTTGACCAGTCAAAGCTGCAATTATTGACCAAAATTGATTGTATGAAGAGTAGAATCCCTTCTTTACTTCTCAAATACTTACCAATTCTCAAATGAACCTCTCACTCCACACACACACACACACACACACGTGCACACACACACACACCCACACCCACACACACACACACACACACCCACACACACCCACACACACACACACACCCCCCCCACACACACACACATATACACACACACACACACACACAGAGGGGAGCGATCGCAAACCACTCATATTTGTATAAACCGTGTAAACCACCATCATTCATCAATTTTATTGTTTAATTTAATAAAATTGTTTATATAATACTTTTATTGATGAAATCGTTTCATATATGGTTGTTTCTATGTTTTAATGAAACTGTTTCATGTATTTATCTAAAATTAGTATAATGACGATGATAATATCCATAATTAACACTCTCCACAATGAAAATGACTAATCAACCTCTCATAATTACATAAAAAAACTATGATTGGTTGAATGAGGTTTACACAGTTTGTACAAATAACGTGGTTTGCAAAGTAAATTCCCCTATATATATTAGACCTACACATAATTAGTCATATTCAAAATTATATTACAATTTCGACCGTAATTTTTATTTTTTTTATTTGCATGAATATTCAACTTTCTTTTTGAATTTGTTAGCTTTTTTGTATGTTTCTATTTTGATTTTACTGTATTTAAATGCAAATGCTTTAGTTAGATCATAAAATAATGTATCAAAGTTTCAAGCCAACCTAACCGAACCCATACGATTTGGCTGGGTTGAGTTGAGATTTTTCAAACTGCAAACATTGGGTTTGGTTGTTCAAATATCTTCAACTCAGGCAACCCAACCCATGTGTAGCCCTACCTCCGACATATCGACCCCTTGGTAACATGATTAGAACATAATTTCATAGTTCTAATAAAATGTTGTGACTCTCTTCTAAACATCTAATTTCAAGGTTTCTTATTGTTAGAAATATAAATAAAATATTTTTCTCTGATCTTCATTATTTTTTGGCAGAATATTTTAAATTTGGATAATGTCACGCTTTCTTTTCTACTTTCTTCTTTTTGGAAAAAGTTTTAAAGAATCTGTTGGAGCAAAAAATTGTACAAAATCTTCATTTTATTCGTTTTAGAGAATCTGGTGGAGATGCTCCTAATGTAGATAAGTTCCAATCTTTTTTAGAGGTCTTGTTACATTTGTATAAAAATGATAAACAGACGAAGCGACTAATAACTAAAACAATCGACAAAAGTTCATACCATATAATAATGAAAATTTTCACAAAGGTCAAAGTGTCTGGAGGTCTCATGTTCGAATTCAATGAGAAATAAAAATTCTCTTGTGGCCACGGAGGTTCAAATGTTGTCACTCCGAGCTACCCGCAAAGCAGGTGGTCGTCCTCGGATTAGTTGGTTCGCATAGTGGGTTAGATATCCAGGTTAATAAAAAAAAGATCTCACAAA